TGTGTGTGTGTGTGTGTGTGTGTGTGTGTGTGTGTGGTCTAAATGCATGAATTCTAAAATGAAACCTAAAGGCTGATACAATTATTGGTCTGATGAAAAAGTTTCAGTTCACCTCCAGCCTGCATCTGCACCCCGGGGGTCATGTGGATGAACTCCGGCCTGTTGCTGAGCTTGGAGCCACAGATGAAGCCGATCACAAAGTCTGACTGCTCCTCTGCCATCTTCAGCTGTGAGCACAGAGAACAGAGATAAACCACTAATAACCTGTAGCTATAGGAGATGGACAACATACGGAGGAACATGCGTACCACAGCCTTTGTGTATTCGCCAGTGGCCAGTGATCCCTGGGAGCTCATCTGCGCTATAAGCAAACAGCCTCGGCCCAGACTCTTTCCTACAGCACTCAGACCCTTCACCACACCGGGCCCCGGCACCGCATGAGCATTCACAATGTGGGACCAAGACGAAATCTGGTACAAACCACCTGGAAGACAGGAAGACATGAGCACTGTCAAGCAACTTCAACAAGATAAAGTTTTGTGACATTTTATGAATAAGCCTCATACAAATTTGGACAAATCTTCTAACCTTGGTACTGATGCTTGACTGTGTTTCCAATGTCGGCAAATTTGCGGTCTTCAAAGATCAGAAAGTTGTGTTTCTGGGCCAATTCCTGCAGTTTCTGGCTGAAGTCCGCCGTGAAGTCCTGTCGGCAGACATGACACGATCAGTGCATTTGTCTTGACAAAGTTCTGCTTTGCAAAAAGAGCGGTTCCAATCCTTTACCTCAAGGATGTCGACATGCGTCTTCAGCACGCAGATCTTGGGACCCACAGAGTCGGCCAGCTGGAGAAGCTCCTCGCTGCTGGTGACGTCCGCCGACACGCAGAGGTTTGACCGTTTCTCCTCCATGAGCTTCAGCAGCTTTGATGCCTGAGGGTGAATGTCTGGAGAAAAAAAGAGGGGAGAGTAAAGGAGAGGATATTTTTTTTTACTATCCAATATGGAGAAGCATAACTTTACTAAATTTAATACAGAGGGGCAAAAACATTTTGTCAATTATATTTAGCTTGTCATACAGATGGGGTGTTTAATTAAGTTGCAAGACTCCGTTTAAGGAATGTATCAAGCTGCATCAAGCTCCTGCCTTTCACACAAGAGCTTGATGCAGCTGTCAGACATATTCATAACCACAATTCCAGAACGATCAGGGGAGGTTAGGCCGTGAAGTTTTGGGAAACATTCCTGCTATACGCTGTGGTATTAGCACGAAAAGTTCAGGAAAACGTCTGGAAAAACTGCCTGGGACATTTGTGTCCTCTCATACGGCCCCTCCAGATAATCTCAGGAAAATGTCAGAAGTTCATTCCAGGCCTGAAAGCAGATTTAGTTACTTGGCAGTTTGGCTCTGTCTGCATAGCTCAGCTCCAGGTTCTCCACACACGGCTTCTTCGTGGCAGGAACGCCATTGCCGTTCTCTTCCTTGGGCCTGGAAGAGGCAAGTTGCAAATGTCACTTTCAAAAACACAAACTCACATATATGTCACTAAAAAGAGAAAGGCTGCTCAACTGTACCTGAAAGTGTTTTCCATGATAAACTTGCGGACACTCTGAGCAGTTTGGGTGTCGATGCGTTCGGCTGCCAGCAGCACGTTGAGCAGCTTGGACATGGAGATGATGGGATAGAGGCGGATTCCCCGAGACGCCAACATCGCCGCAGCACCTTGCTCTCTGTCCACGAGGACGATGGCATCTGTCACCTAGACAAATCATACGAACATTAGAAAATCCCACTCTCCGAGCCAATGTAAAAATCATCTCTGTACTTCTACAACCACTGCAGTGATCCATCACTGGGACATCATCACCACTGTAATCGGATACTGAACCTTAAGCCCCTCTTTGTTGAGGACTTCAGAAGTCTCCAAGATGCTGCTGCCGCTGGTCACGGTGTCCTCGATGATCAGACATGTGTCCCCCTCACGATACAACCCCTCCACCATACGCTTGGTCCCTAGAAGACGGACATGAGGAAGCTTAACAGCCACTATTATGAAATACTTATACTGAAATAATAAGTTGCTTTGGTCATATTTGAGGGATGGATTGTCTCGTGTTTTTTAATGAGCTTTAATTAGTTCTCAATCATGTGAGAACCCAGATGTAGGATCAAACATTATAAAATAGAAAACTCCCAGGCTTGGCTAATTCTTCACTGACAAATACAGGGTCAGTCCTCTGGAAAGTTTACTGTATAGGATTTAATGACATATGGCAGAGAACTTGTATTTTACAATCATTAAGAATACCAGTTGCTTGGCTTGATCCCACTAAATCCTACACACTGGACCTTTAAAAACCGGGTGGATTGATTCTGCCCTTCCCTCTCAGCACCCACCATAGTCCTTGGCCTCCTTTCGTCTGATGAGCATGGGCAGTTCATGCCCGGAGCAGATAATCGTGGCTATAGGCAGGGCTGTGTACGGAACCCCGCACACCGAGTCAAACTGGAGACCCTCCTCTTCCACTCGCTGGTACATGAGACTTGACACCTGAAAGTAAAACGTTTACAGCAACAATAAGGTCTAAATGTAACAACAGAGTGACCACTGCAGGGGACATAGACACATCTAATGTGCTGTCTTTCGAGGTTCAATGCATTTTATGATCATGTTTTAAACTCCAGAAACGCTCAGACCTCACAGGCTGACAACTTTCAGACAAATCTGGTTCTTTTGTGGAACCTTGTATTGGCTTTTAGGTTCATCACATACATTCTCATTAAGGCAGGTTGTGCTCTATCGTAAAAACAGAGTCCCCGGTTTGTTAAGTCAGCTCGGACAATATTTTCAATGTCAGTGCAGAAGCCCTGTGATAAGTGGTACATTGATGAATGTGCAGTTCAGTAGACACATTGTTTGAGTCAACAATAGAATCATGTTTGTGACTCTATTTTTACAGAATGGCTAATACTAAATAATACAATTGTTTTTGCCATCATTTACACTTATTACTTCCAATGTTGTATTACACATCTGCTGTCTTTGACTTTAGATCATATCATTGGCTGGATTTGATTTTAAATGACATTGTACTAATGTGCTTGTTACCTTTGCTGGTTTGTATTCTGGTTTTTATTTTTCCTCTTTGCTGAAGCACTTTGAAACTGCTGCTTTGACAGGAGCTACACAGAAAGAAGCTATTGCTTTTAGTTTTTGTAATAACGTTATGTATTAGATACTATATTTGATCTTAAATGATAATGAGCTTGTTGCCTTTGGGAGCGAGGATTCCAATAGATATACGTCAGCGTGTTGAGTTGATAAACAGCCACGTGTGCTCTAATTATAACTTGCAGAGCGGAAATCAACACGGATATAAGAACAGGTTGTCTTCATGAGGTGGTGGAGCAGCAGGATGAATCACAGTGTGTGTGTGTGTGTGT